TAAAATCTTCCTTGCCATGCCTGTAATTTTCTGAAGTCCTAACGTGCTTGGGATGGCAGTGACAGGAGAGTACTCCACAGAGCGGGAATGCATTTCCCATCAGATCCAGATGCACACTCACATTCCTCCACAGTCACATTCCCTCCTTCAACGTCTTGCGACTTCCTCAGACAGCTGGATGTGCTGATGGCACTCATCTTTGTCAAGCTTCCTCACAGCCCTGTCTTCAACTCAAATAGTACTTGGAAGGTCCTGATGTCATCTCTCATTATCGTCCTTAGCTGTGTGAGCATCTTAGGAGATGACTAGTTCTCAGGCTTTCAAGTATAACACCCCCACTCCCACATTCAATAACCCAGCAAATTCCATGCAAAGATCTTTGGGTGTTCTGCTCTATTTTGAGGCTGGTGTACTAGACTGTATAGATGTTAAGTCTAAAATCTAGCAAAAAATGTTTCTTGCTTTATGTTTAATTAATCAGTTAACTATTTTAACCCTTGGCATAGTTCACAGAAGGATTTGTGGTACACTGAAAGAATATGATTTTAAAATAGCAGGAGAAGGAGCAGAGCACAGTAATCATGGAGGGAAGGATTAAATCTGGAAGAAAACTGAAGTACTCTACAGTGGCCTTCATGGGCTTTGAAGAGCTCATTATACACATTGCCAGCTAGTGGCATCCGGCTTGTGCTTAGCTTTTTTTTTAAATTAATACCTAAATTTCTTCCCCTCTGAAACAGTAAAGAGCGTTGTTATGCAGAAGCTGAATTACTTGACAGGGTGTCAACAAGAGTAAGAGCATCCTCAGGTACAGAGGAATGAGTGAGCCTCCAGTAAAGCTGTTGGTCCCTTAATCCAGAAGGAATTAATGTAAGAACAGTGTGGCGGCGTTTTGTAATTGTCTCTAAGACATACTTCTACTCTAAGGCACGTTTTTAGCATTTCCTTCACTGTCATTCACCTGTCTATGCTTTGCGTAACGTGAAAGGAAAGAACTCACCAGGTCCACTAGGAACCTGTTGTTTAGAAATAAGAAAATGTCATGGTAGAACTGTCAGAAACAACGCAATACTAGACTGTATTTGGTGTCTATTGCTGCTGTAAGAATCTACTACAGACTTCAAATAAGATTTGTTATCTTAGTCTCTATGTCAGAGACTAACATGAGGCCCACATGTTAAAATATAAGTCAGCAGAGACTCGTTCCTCCCAAGAGGCGGCAGGCGGCAAGCCAACTGCCTCTCCTTTTCCAGTTTTGTCTCCTGGTTTCTGCCTTCTTTCCTCCACCCTCAAAGCCAGCCATGGTGGCATGAAGTAGATTTGGTCTTGTATTACATTTAAGTCATCTCTTGGGGAGGAGTTAGTCTCTTTGACTTTGACTCTATGAAGGGCATTCTAAAGAGATGAGAGAGAGAAGACCAGACAAGTAACTACCTATTCAACGTGCCCAAGGAGGGATTCATGTGTAGAGATACTATATTTAAGCATTCAGCAATACAGTTTTGAGAAGTCATTTGTGGTTGGGGTGGGCCTGTCCAGAGCTGACCCACTATTGGGAGAACTGACTGGAGGAGAAGGAGGATGAAGTGGTAGCTCATGATGCTAGAAGGGCGGGCTGTGGTCGCAGAACTGAATTGATGTATGGTGTTGCCCAGCTGGCTTCCAGTTCAATTCTAGCAGTGTTGTCTGTGTGTCCCAAGAAACACAGTGACACACAGTGTTGAGTGTGAATAATGAAGTATGACATGAATATTTGGGAACATCAGTGCTTTCCACGTGGGTAAGAGTGAACATATTGGACACCGGTTAAAGGTTTTCAAAGGCAGAATGTGAGAAGTCAGTGTGTTTTTAAAATGCATGCTTCCCTGGACCATGAGTCGTCCACTTGCCATTCTACCCATGTACTTCTGTCAGGGTTCTAATGGAGTACATGATTTCCATTCCAGTAACTCTGAGCCTGTGTGAAAAGGGATGGAAAGCCAGTCAGGAGAGGAGTGTGGACTTTGCCACAATGGTTTGGTTCCTTTTTCTTTTTTCTGCCAATCCTCTAAAGCCAGGTTAGCAGCTGTTGAAATAAAATGAGAAGAGAGCCTTAGGAATTGGGATGCTGACATCAGAACGAGGCTGTGGGTACACAGCGCCAGAGCTGGGGTGGAAGGGCCGAGATAACGGGAAAGAATGACTGGAGCCTAGGAGATCTCGCCAGCAGCCAGTCCTGGTTCTAGTTGCCAGCATCGGGTTCCTGGCTCCCGGGCTGACATGATGCCCTGCTGAAGACTGGAACTGAGGCCCTGGAGCTTAACTGTGTGGGGTGCGACCTCAACTGGTCCTGGTATAAAGTTCACCCCTAATGTCTAATCAACCTATTTCTTCACGTAGGCCTTGAAAAATGACCTAGACCTCAAAATAGATGTTTCTGTGTGAAAGTTAAATCATGATTTGTCAGTAACGTATTTTAATTAAAGAGATACCATAAACCCTGACGGCTGACGCAGGGGAAATGTTAACCTATCAACACCTTAATCTCCTGGCAGGAAACTATCTGTCCCTCCTAATCTTCTGAACATTTAGGGGTGCTATGTGGTAATTTTTAAAAAGATGACTTTAAGAGACAGTCTGAGGTATTTGTATAACATGCTCGTTTTTTTAAATCAAGTCATGAAAGTATTTCTTTGAAGTTACTCAGTAGTCAAGTTTCTCAGCCAAACAGAACATCACTCTAACTTTAAAGCTGAGATCATGCAGAATACTTAATTAAATGTGGATCCTATTGGCCTGAAATTGTCAGAATTATTGACATTTTTAACATTGCATTTCTGATTTATGTCCCTGTCATCAAGATGTCTGACTCTGTTTCCGTAAATGTCAGCGATGCTCTTTACTTCATTCCTGTGATAGCCGGGTCTCCAAGGGGACCACTGTCTACAATTACCTTTGGATTTTGTCCAAATCTCAATTCCCTCTGCCCTCGTGGCGTGTGTTAATTTGACATCCCAAATTCCTGAAAAGCAACCAGCACAATTTGAAACCAGGTTGCTATCCAAACCAAATTGTATTTTTAATGATTTGATTGGAAAGTACAAAGAATGACTTTCAACTAAAGCTTCTTACCATGAATACAAACGTTTAATAAAGCAAGGCAGGCATGCGGTACTTAACCTGCCCTCCCAGCTTCAGAGAGAAATATATTCAGGAAAGGAATTAATCACACATGAAATCCCAGCCGGGGCCTGCTTGTGCAATCTGTCAAGGAGGTTTAAATATGCTGGGACTTCTCTTCAGCTGAACCTTAGTCAGACTTCCTAGCTCCCAGAGTCTCCTAGGAAAGTCAAGAGATATTTATTTAATGACAATACAAGAAGAAAAATAGCAACCTGAAATCAGTACTGAAGCCATCATAACAAGAGAACCCAAGACACCGAGGCTCATTACAAGATCGCAGTCATTACAGTCTTGCCCTAGCGAGTAAAAGCTAAAATTAAGTATATGATGATATGCAAAAGGGGTGACATTTTTGCCATGTGAATAGTGATTGAGGGGTTCCCACTTCCCAAAGTTTGAGCGCTTCCACTCTGGATGTTATATAGCTAAAAAGGAGTTAGGGCTGAGGCAGGAAACAAATCCAACAAGGTTTATTACACATTAGTGTTGGTTCCAGATCAATCAAGAATGTCAGTTGTGTTCTGCAGATGGGTCTGAGCGTTGCTGGGGACGCGGGCTGTTCAGTGGGCTATGCGCACCAGCGTTCCACCGCTCACTCAGTGTGATCTTGCAAAGAAATTATGCAGATTTTTTTCCCTCCTCTTAATACTTCAGGAGTAAGCTCCCCTAGCTTTGCGTCTGAACAGATGTGGAGCTGTTTGGTGGGATTAATAAGGTGATGTATCATGGGCAGTCAGTGTTTTTCACCACTGTAGATAACTCGTCAGACTGCGGAGAAAAACGTTCACCGACTTACTAGAACATGAAATTTAAATCTCTCATCTAGATAATTTTAGATGCTTGGATTTCATTATAGAAATTCCTCAACTACTTGTGGATAAAACAAATGCTAAGATCGTATTGAGTTTCACCAAGCTGAATTAGCAGAAAACAAAGATAAAATGCCTTTCTATTTAAGAACATGATGATGTTTTAATTGTTATAGCATTTGGCATGCCTAATGTATACAATCCTTGACATTCAGATAATAACAAAAGAAAGTTGTTTGGGATTTTTCTTTTATTTCTTAGTGTCCGCTTTCCTCTCTGGTGTTTCTTCAACCCCCGTGCTGGGCCTGGCCTTTGCCTCTCCTCCCACCTCTTCATCCTTCTGTAAAGAAAACCCTACACAGTGAAGGGAGTACATGTAAAAATACCTCATTTCTGTATAGATGGGCCAAGGCTGCCTGTTACCTAGCTGTGATACACAGACCACCATCGTTGTGACAGCTGATGTCCGTGCCTCTGGCTGAAACAAAGGTTTACATATTACACAAGCAATTTAACTGTTTTCTAAACAGGATTGCCAAGACAGTGGGAACTGGCAGCCCACACTGGGTTTGGGGTTTGGGAGATGTGAATTAGAAGTGACTGTTGATTATGAACCTTTTTATTTGTCTTCTATCAACTCCAAGCACCCTAGTAACCCAGGAAAGAATGTCTCACAACACTTCAACTTGTCTTCCTAGCTTCCCAAGATCACACACACAAATCACTTCACAAAAGTGGTGTTAAGACTCTTGCACACAGATAACCACACAATCGGTAGAACAAGACAATTGTTCGTAAATTGTCCTTAAAGAGTTCCACACAGTGAAATGTTTTATAATCCTTTTTTGTGTAGTAGGCAAGGAAAGGAAAGGGAAAGAAAAAGAAAAGAAAGAAACAAAGAAAAGAAATGAGGTTGGTTGGGCAAAGATTACCCAGAAGCAAGAAAGAAACTCTTTTGGAGTCTCAGTTGAAACACAATAAAGAACATAATTAACTTCACAATTCTTTGTGTTTTTCATTTGACTGCAGGGAGGAGATGAAAGAGGACTGTTAAGCCTTGCATTCCATCCCAATTACAAGAAAAATGGAAAGCTGTACGTGTCTTACACCACCAACCAAGAGCGCTGGGCCATGGGGCCGCACGACCACATCCTCCGAGTTGTGGAGTACACGGTCTCCAGGTATGGCTGAAAGGCCCTGAGCAGACAGATGTGTGACAGGTGTCGCTCTTCATCTCCTCACATCCTCTTTGTTTCCAAATGACAGCTCCCTAGCCATCAGGCCCTAGCAATGAAAGGAAAACTGCTACCTTGTGTGTATGTTTTTAAGAAGAAAAGAACAATGATGGCCTTTGACCCCTTTCCTCTGGTATCTCCCGAGTTAAATGCTACTTCCAGAGTATAGAAATGAGCAGACTTTTACGGGCTCCATTCCAAGTATAGGTTTCTCATTTCTGGGCTGGATTTGGTTTTCCTGTGTGCGTGCTGCTCTCCGGTGGCTTTGCCTGTGTCTTTAATGGTCACGCTGTCTTTCCCTTCCCCCAATGTAGGAAGAATCCCCACCAAGTGGATTTGAGGACAGCCCGGGTGTTTCTGGAAGTCGCAGAGCTCCACCGCAAGCACCTGGGCGGACAGCTGCTCTTTGGTCCCGATGGCTTCCTGTATGTCATCCTCGGGGACGGGATGATCACACTGGACGACATGGAAGAGATGGATGGGTTAAGGTAAGGGACACTGCGGATGGATGCTGGTGGCCGAGAGCATGCTGATAGGGCCAGGAGAAGGGGGCTGAGCCGGGGAGCCACAAACCCACGTGGCATCACATCACCTGGCTTACGTATCTGGCAGTTATTGTCCCGTGTCCATATTTGCAGAGCGCAGAGGAGTTCAACCTCAGGCCGAGGCGCTGCTCCTCTCCTGGTCACGAAAGGAGGGGCTGCAGTGTCCCCCTGTGCCCGGCCTCTGCTGCCCTGAGCCACGCCCCTGCTTCCTGGGGGCACCTGCTGCTCAGCACCTCCCATGATCCTTCACTTCCCTTTGCATAAAACTCATGGGCTGACAAAAATGGAAGAGGACAGATGTAGGAAAAGAAAAAAAAAAAAGCAGTGTGTTAATGGTGCCACCGTCCGTGGCCAGCTCCAAGCCGAGGCTGGGCACAGTGGAACAGTTGTGTCTCAGATAAGGGAATGGTTCTTCACTGCCTTGCGGCTTCACCACAAGCGGCCAAACTTAAAGCACTCACGCTCTCCCCCCGCCCCCCCATCTCTCAGCGACTTCACAGGCTCCGTGCTGAGACTGGATGTGGACACAGACCTGTGCAACGTGCCTTATGCTATCCCTCGGAGCAACCCCCACTTCAACAGCACCAATCAGCCCCCAGAAGTGTTTGCGCATGGGCTCCACGACCCAGGCAGGTGAGAAGGTGACCCGCTTTGAAGGACCAGCAGGTACTGCTAGGAGAAAGAGGGTGTGGGGTCGCTGGGCAGACAAGGTGAGGGCCAGAGTGTATGCCTCTAAAATCAGACTGTGCCATGGGCTGGGCAGGTACTCGCCCCCTTTCTTCTATGACTGTGTAAGTCATGACAATGCAGATTAGACCAAAAATAAATAAATAAAAGGATAAGTTATAGAGAAAAAAAATGACTTCAAATTGGAGGAGATTATTGCTCGGTACAAATTGCTGGACTGGTGTAATGACTAACAACATCACTCCTTTGCAGAGATAATGAACCTTTGGACCTCTTTCCTTAAGCCCTTCTAAATATTATTTTACTTACTGTGCTAGTCTGTTTTGTGCTACTGTAACAGAAATAAACACTATGGGCCGGGTAACTAATAAAGGGGAGAAATTTATGTGGTCATGGTTCTGGAGGCCGGGAGTCCAAGTGTCTCAGCTTCAAGTCTTTTGAAAGATTCTTGCTAGTTCTTCCCAAGGCAGAAGGCGAGAGGGAAGGAGAAGGAGAAGGAGAAGGAGAGAGAGAGAGAGCGCCCAAACCATCCTTTCCTTGGGATCTCACAGCGGCCTATGGGCACCAATCCCTTTCCAAGGGCAGAGTCCTCATGACCCATTTGATCCTTAACCATTCCACCTCTTGACATTGTTTGCTGCAATCGGGATTAAGTTGCCAACATGTGAACTTTGCAAGACACATTCATACCACAGCCCTTATATAATAACTCTGCTGTCAGGAGGCTGTCAAGACTGGATAAAAAAAAAATCTAGAGACAAAGCACAAGGTGGGGTGTCTGACACCTGGAAGTTCTTATTACACAGCTTCACTTAATATAGGATGATGTAGTGTTAACGGTTTACTTCGGAAAAATTACAAATACTAAAGGAATTCAGGCCGGCTGCTTGCTCTACTATAAAGAAAGGAGAAGTTAAAAGGATGTGGAGTGAGAAAGTTTGGATATATTATTTTTAAAATACCATGAAGTATAATATAGAAATTCTCTGATGAAAGCTTCACCCCACCTGTGGTGTATTATTCATGCAAAAGATACCAGGCCACATTCATTCATTTATTAGCGCAGTTATTCTTGCTATTTAATGTTTATTGAGTGTTCGCTATGTGCAAGGTGAATGTTTCTCAACCTTTTTATTTTTTATAATCCTTCATGCCCTTCATCTCCCTTCCATCAAAGCCCAAATCCACAGTTCATTTCCCTTTTGGCATCTCAGCAGATCTTAAAATCTGTTCGACGGGGAATACTTACGGTGCGCTCAGGATGTGGAGGAAACTGTCACATTCCATTCCTATAGCTCACAGCTCACGGACACCCTCACAAAGCAGCACTTTGATGCTGGGCGGTTCGAGTCACCACGACCCTGCTTGGGGCCTTCTTGTAACCTCCCTGGGGGTCCTGAGCCTCAAGTGCAAAAATATAGGAAAAGGCATTTTATGGACCGTGTTTGGGGCAAAATGGCTGTACAGTGAATTTCTATCTCCACTGGCAGCAGGGAGCAGAGGAGAGCAGTTATATTCTGCCTTCCTCCAGGAGGATCTTAAACAGAAAAAAAAAAAGATGCAGTAAAGCAGAAAAGGAATGAAAATAATTATTAGCAAAAAGTAAAGCCAACTGTTAAGGGCCTTGTTACAGGGTGCTGAGTGAAGTATTTGTCTACAGTATCTCCTCCATGCTTCTTAGGACTAGGTTGCAGTACGCAGCGATCTCCCTCTCCCACATCCTCTCATTCTGTAGACGATGGGAAGAGAAGAGAGGGGCGCTTGAAGCGTGCGCCTCCCCTTGCATGACCTCTCCTCATTTCCTTACCGACACCACTGTGCGACACTGAGGACCCAGCCCTGCTCGGGAACCTCCCCAAGTCTACAGTTTGCACGCGGGTCTGCTATTTGTTTATTTGTTTGGTACTAGGGTTTGAATTCAAGGCCTTGTGCTTGCTAGACAGGTGCTCTAAAGCTGAGCCACACCTCCAGCCCCACTTTACACTGGTCCTTTTTGAGGTAGGGCCCGCCTGCCTTCCTGGATGCACACTTGGACTGCAATTCGCCTATTTTCAGCTTCCCATCACTGCCAGGATGACAGGCAGGTGCCACGGTGTCCAGCTCCAGAGATATGATGGAGTCGCAGTATTTCCTTCCCAAACTCACCTGGAACTTCAGTCCTCCCAGCCTCAGCCTCCCTCATAACTTAGGACCCCAGCATACCATAGTGGCCAGACAGAGCTGAAAGGGGTTCTGCAAACACCTCTGCCTCGGCTGACCTTGAACCTCACTTCTCCATTTCTCAGCCCCCTCAGTAGCCAGGATTACAGGCATGGGCCATCGGCTCCTAGCTAGTGCCCACTCTTGGCAGTATCCATTCACTGGGTGTGGACAAATGGTAACGACACATACCACTACCAGAGCACCACTGTGATTAGTTTCACTGACTGGCTCCTTCTTCACCTAAGAAACTGGAGCTTAGAAGGTCAAGAAGCTGTGCCTACACCTCAGATTTCACCAGAAATAGAGCTCACGGCCCCCCACCCCACCCCAGCCATTCCACATTTGCTGTTTCTTGTTGGAAAGAAATCCAACTTTTTTTAATTTTTGGTCAAGAATGCTCCATCTTCAAAGGAAAGGCGGCAGGGACATGTTCTCATTCCGGAGGGCTGCAGCCCCACCTCACACCACGCACTGCTGCCTCCTGGTCCCTGCCAGGCATTGTATTCTGTGAATCATTGAGTTAAAGAGGACAATGGGGGACTGGTGCCACCGAGCCACTGCCCCCGCCCCACCCCCCACCCCGACTTGGGCAGGCCTGTCCTACAGTTTCCCTGTCATCGGTGGAATCTTTCCGAGCCAAGGGTTGCTGGGTGTTTAAATAATTGCTACATCGCTCTCACGCCTCTGAAGAACAAGCACCTAGTCTCATTTTTTAAAATTAATACTCCAAAGATTTGATTTTGTTTGTGAATAATTAATGTATCTTGCTGCCCTAAAACAGTGATTCTAAATGGAAAATGTTTTCATGTCTGGAAACAATTTTGCTTTTCGCAGCTGGGGATAGGATGGGTGGAGTCAAGGATGGAGTGACATGACTGCTGTCCAATGGGTGGAGGCCCGGGATCCTGCTATAATTCACACAACACCCCCTCAACACATACGACACACACACAATCCAAGGTTGCCTGGCCTAATATGTCAGTAAGCTTGTTTCTCACATTTCTAAGAACTCCACATGTATTATTCCACTTCATTTGTCCAGAACCCTAGTCTGTCATTGATAGCAATATTCAATAGATATGAAGCCCCTCCTACTTATGCACTTTTGAAGTGGGTCAGAGGTTCTAGCAGTAAGGAAGCTAGGGGGGCTGGCCTTCGGAGTTCACAGACAGCGGTTTACCCATAAAGACCTGCAGGTCCCCAGATCAGCGTAAAAGTCCTTAGCACATCACCCCATCCAGCTGCATTTGGTTTCCCTGAACTGAAATGTGGGTTTCCTTTGTTAGAGAATCCTGAGCATTAGAGCATAATTCCACAAAACAAACACCATAATGCTGTACTCAGCATAAATGTGAGTTGATGATGACACTGATGTGTTCCCTTTTTTCTGATTCTTATTCTGTTATTTTGTCAATGTATATGTGAGATATTCCTTAACAACAGGGTAGGAAAGGGTTTGTCATTGTTTCATGGCTGGTATTGTTTGTTTCAGTAATGGCGCTTAAACTCAGGGTATTAGTAGCCTGCTGCTTCTACCACTTGAGCCATGTTCCCATGTGCTTTTCCTTTAGTATTTTTTCATATGGTGTCTTCTGTTTTTGCCTGGGCAGGACCTGGACCACAATCCTCCCACCTTCACCAATCAAGCAAATGGGATTACAGACATGTACTACCTAATACCTGACTTGTTTTAGAGACAGGGTCTTACTGACATTTTGGCTGGGCTAGCTTCAAATTGCAATCCTTCTATGTCTGCCTCCTGAGTATCTGGAATTAAAGGCATGTGCCACCTTAATGACCCAACAAAAGTTTTAAGACACTACGCACATTCATAAGGAGGGAGATACCGAGAGAAACTGAGGAACATACTCCAGGAATCATCAAGTTTCAGCAGAGTAAACAAATGCTTTAGAATGCTTCCTTCCGTAGTTTGTAGAAAAACCTGAATAAATTATCTCACGGGACCTTGGTCAGCCCACAAAAGGTTCCGGCCTACATCAGGAATCCCAGGTAAGCTGGGAAGATGCTCTGAGGGAATTCATGGGTATCTCCCTCTTCTGTCGTGCAGATGCGCTGTGGACCGGCATCCCACTGATATAAACATCAACTTAACAATACTTTGTTCTGATTCCAATGGAAAAAACAGATCATCAGCACGAATCTTACAGATAATAAAGGGCAAAGATTATGGTAAGTCAGGAACGATTTGTTGGTTTTGCTTTGGTTTGAGTTTGCTTTCAGTGTATGCATTTACAATAAAAGAAATTCTGTGAAATAATCATTTGAGAAAGAATACAAATATTGGCCTAACCTGTGCAAGTGCCGCTCTGTGCCAAGTCACTCTCTTTTTAAAGACACAGGGCCATTTATATGCCCCAAGGGTCTATCTGCCTCCCTTCCATGGCTTGAATGGTTCTCTGTTAATGTCTTAATCACTGAATAGCTTCAAAAGTTAGAGATTATACTTGGCTCATCTGAAAACCAAAATGCACAACTTCTGCTTAGTTAGTTTAGAAGACAAAAACTTGTTCTTATATCTTTCATGCAAAGAGAGAGAGGAAAAAAAAAGAAGTCTTAAGGATAATAAGTTTTTCAATACCGAACATGGTAATCGCAGCAAATGGGAAAATTGTGTTTCAAATAAGAACAGAATATTTTAGAAGGTGTTTGTCCTGGAGAAGACAGTACAAAATAGAGTTGTAAAGATGAGTCATGTGATGGGGTAATTAAATATCATTTCTAATGGCCTGATTACTAGAATGCTTAGAGAGAACATAAAAATATAAAGCTGTATATCAATGAGTCTTAAATGCTTAGTATGTTAAACATTTTATATGTGTGTATATATTTCTATATACATATATATTTTGGTCGGTCGTGGGGCCTGAACTCTGGGCCTGGGCGCTGTCCCTCAGCTCTTCACCTTAAGGCTAGCGCTCTACCACTTGAGCCACAGAGCCACTTCCGACTTTTTCTGCTTATGTGGTGCTGAGGAATCGAACCAAGGGCCTCATGCATACAAGGCAAGCGCTCTACCACTGAGCCACCTTCCCAGCCCTTTAATATATATTCCTTCTGAAGGAAGCAATATACTCAGCATGATTATGATTCAGGGACCATAGTAGATTAAGATTATTAATTGATTGCTCTTCTTATTTGCCTATTCAATAAAGTTATTTATTCAGCAGTAGGAATGAAGCAGCTGTGTTAGTTCATGTGGTATTTAGTTATTTTTACTTTACTTTTTCAGGTATTTCTCTGTGTGTGTGTGTGTGTATGTGTGTGTGTGTGTGTCTTTAAAAAGCCAAACCAAAGAGTAATGTGGTCTAAGAAAAGTCTGTAAGCTACCTGCTCACTGGTATTTGGGCTATCTCTGAAGATGAACTCAAATTCTGCAACACATTGAGATTCAAACAAAACCAATTAAAGTGTGACTAGCTACATGTTAATGTCTTTTAAAGTACACTTCAGTGCTTACTCTACTCCAGACATTGTGTAACCACTTAGAAACTTTCCTCATTGCAGTCACAGAAAAAGTGTCCATGTCCATGATGAGCACTGTAATCAGCCAGAGTACACACAGGGAAACCGAGGCATCGGAAAGTCAGTACCACACACAGCATGTGGTAAGGGATGGACAGGAATGGGAGTGGCTCGACCCCAGAGTTCATGTCACACTGTCCCTTGGGTGCTATGTACTCAAAACGTTTACTGCAGGCAAAGAACAGTGCATTTCAAAATTACTGCATTTTCCCAAAGGTTTTGCATAAAAGACTCCCTATTGGTGGCCATTTTCACAATAAATGTGTAAGAAATAATTTTTAGATTAATTTGCAACTGGCATGAGAGCTTTTCCATTACAATTAGCATACATACCTTCAAGTATGTACCCACGTGTATGGAAAGACTGACATATGACTACACACATATAATTGAAAAGGAATTAATGGAATAGACTTTGCTAACCACACAACTGTAAACTAAATGATTTTTAAATGAAGATATGGCTTAACAAAGTGGCAGTGTTTTAAAATATGTAACAAATATGGTTTAAAACCATTTAAACAAACATTTTGTATAGTTTTACAGACAGAGACCTGGTTTGTTAAATATAACAAGAAGCATTTTTTAAAAAGAAAAATTCAATGGTTAAAAATGAAGCTGGGCACCGGTGTCTCATGCCTGTAATCTTAGCTATTCAGGAACCTGAGATTCGAGGATCACGGTTCAAAGCCAGCCTGGGCAGGAAAGTCTGTGCGACTCTTATCTCCAATTAACCACCAGAAAACCAGAAGTGGCACTGTAGCTCAAGTGGTAGAGCGCTCTCCTTGAGCTAAAGAGCTGAGGGACCATACCTAGGCCCAGAGTTCAAGCCCATGACCGGAAAAAAAAAAAAAAAAAAGTGAAGTTGTCTTTTCAAGTAGCTTGGATTTTAAAGTCTATCATCAGGACTTCCAAACTACCCAGATTTTATTGATATATCCTGTCAATTACAGCAGGAAAAAAATTGAAGAACATGCTCATTTCACTAAATTCTGCCCAGAGGTCTTTTACATTTTGCTCCAATTGGCACAAAGACTGGATTCCTACTGACCACCTCTTGTGGTGCAGGACACATTTCAGAGCTGAGGGACAGTGATACCACTGCTTCCCTCCCATTACTGTGCCACGAAGAAAAGACGCTTTTCTGACCAAATGCTCTCTCTTTCCAGAAAGTGAGCCCTCACTTTTAGAATTCAAACCATTCAGTAACGGCCCCTTGGTTGGTGGATTTGTTTACCGCGGCTGCCAGTCTGAAAGACTGTATGGAAGCTACGTGTTTGGAGACCGGAATGGGTATGTTCCTTGATACCACAAGTTGCGATGGCAGATGACCCATCTGTCCGTCCATCCATTCATTCATCCATCCATCCATCCATCCATCAGTGGGTCACGACACTACCATGTCATGGCCGCCTCATGGTGGGGTCAGACTTGGAACACAGGAGAACATTAGAACTTCCTTCCATTCTACTTTATCTGGAGGTTAATTCGAAGGAGATGCCTTTCAACAGGCTTGATCCATAAATAAAATAATGCATAAAAATAATTTTGAGGGAAACTGAGGCAGGACGAGGCCAGCCAGAGTTACCTCGGGAGACACTTTCTTCAGTAAAAATAAAAATAAAAATTGTTGTTACTGTGTAGTAATTAGATATTATATAGTGTATATATCACATTATATTACTTCATAATTTTATTATTGTAAGGACAAAGAAGTCTTCAGATAGACTTTCTATATTGTTTTGGTCCTTCCATTCCTCCTCCCTCAATGTAAATTTACGATTGAAAATGAATACTTTGAAAACTGCCATTTTACATGATTAGACAAATATTTCTAAAACGATCTTGGAAGTCTAAAGAGTCTCAGTTTTGCCAGATTTTCAGCAGAATGTGGTTTGTCCACATGGGTAAGTATACTACGAAGTTCCATGTTTTGAGGTCACATGCAGACAATTATGAGGTACTGCATGATGAGATCCACCCCGAATCCTGGTTTCCAGTCGGCTGGCAGGCGGAGAACCAGCTGGACAGCACCAGGAGCCTGGAAAGGACACGGCCCCGTGGTCATTCTCTGCACCACTGGACTGGCAGGGAGGGCTTTCCTCCTGCCCACATTCCGTTAGTGCCCCTCCAAATGCCCGGCCCCTCTCAGATAGGGAAAATTCACAGTATCGCACACTCTGTGGGCTAAAGCAAGGTCCACAACCCAACAATTATCTTTGCTTTCAACATTTAAGAGTGGACTTTGGGCTAGGGCGTGTTTTCCTTATAGACTGACTGACTGACTGCACAATTTTGTTGTAGGAACTTTCTAACTCTCCAGCAAAGTCCCGTCACAAAGCAATGGCAAGAGAAGCCGCTGTGCCTCGGCACCGGGGGCTCCTGTCGAGGATATTTTTCAGGTCACATCCTGGGATTTGGAGAAGATGAATTAGGTATGGCATAAATTACTTCTATCCAGCTCCTTTCCTGCTGGATTTTTTCCCCCTCCAGAGTCTTGGTTCTATCCTAAAGAATAATACATTTGGCCTCCAGTTATTGGAAATGTAACCTGCAGCAAAGGAAATTCATTGGAAAGTTTGTGTATTCTCTTCCAGATACATTTCCTAACGAATTGTTACATCTTATTTCCAATCTTGAAATACAAAAGTAATAAGACAGGCCAGGCACAGAGAGGCACACCTCTAATTCCAGCCTCTGGGAATCAGGCACAGATCTGGAGGATTGTGGTTTGAGTGAGGATGTTGAGAATACAGAGAGGAGCAAAGACATGGGAAGTTTGGTTAGAATGCTGTTACCATGATCCATGTCCTGCTTGTACTGCAATGCTGTGGGAGACACAGGAAGTGACTGGAATCTGGATGTCTGGTGAAGGGAGTTCCTGAGATGCTGACACAACCTGAGGATGGGTGGGAGGAGGGGATTGTGGGGGGGGGGGAGGAGATGGGAGGGAGAAGAAGGGAGATGAGGGCAGAAAAGGGAGGGAAGGAAGAGGAAAGGGAGAGAGGGGCAGGGATTGGAAGAGAAAGGTAGTACAGGCTAGCCAGTAATGCCCTGCTGGGAATGAAGTTGTTATTTCTCCCCAACAGGCGAAGTTTACATTTTATCGAGCAGTAAAAGCATGACCCAGACTCACAATGGAAAACTCTACAAAATTGTAGATCCAAAAAGGTAGGATTTCTTCTTTAAAAAATCCATGTAAATCACGCGAGTCTTTGCATTGAAGTTCATTCAAATTTGTGATAAGGGGTAGATCTTTTGCCTTGCAAATACAAAATCCCCAGTTCTGAGAAAGATCAAAATAAAAGTTCAAAATAAAACAACACATGCACATGTGAAATACCAAGGGGAAACCCTTTGGACAGTTAATATACACTTAAAAAATGGAATGACAGGAATGCAAAACCAGCCCTGCCTAGGGTGTGTCCTTATGGGAGGGAAGAGGATGGATAGAGAGGGCAAAGGAGGGTGAATATGGTAGAAATACCGTGTGGGAAGGGATTTGGTGGATAGGGCGACTGGCGGAGGGAGTCTGATCATGGCACACCGTACGCAGACACGGACACATCAAAATGAAACCCCAGTGCATAGCTACCTGCATTAACAATTTTAAAACACCAAATAAGTGAAAGCACAACTAGACAATCAGTAAGAAAAAAATGATCTCAAAAAACAACAGTGATAGAGGAGAGTCAGCCAGGCAGCAGCCATCTCAAACAGCTCCTGGGGTGTGACCTTAAACACTCACCCATGTCGTTCTTGTCATCCTAGAGTCTGTTGTCCTTAGGGAACCAGAGCTCTCAGCTAAATACCAGGGGAACACCCCCAGGAGGTGTGGTGGCTTCCGCTCAGGTGCTGGAAACCATAAACCTTACTTTTGCAAGAACAAGAAGTATTCTGGCAGACATTACTCTGTTTATTGTGATTATTTTGTTATTCAATAATCAGGAGCTGTTATTTTGTCAGCTCCCCATCCGAGCTTCATTCCAGAACTGTCTGTCTGAAAGCTCACAGCTCTCATGAAGATTGCTAGGCCTGAACAATGAACATTGAGGGCCCCCCCCCCCCCGACCAAAATGATTTGTTACTCGCCTCAGCAAAAAACCAAGTGTTTTCATCCTTTCAAGAATATGTTTAGTCAGTATGCTGCCAGTAGCTCACACCTGTCATCCTAGCTACTTAGGAGACTGAGATCTGAGGATCATAACTGAAGCCAGCCCAGGCAGGAAAGTCCATGAGACTCTAATCTCTAACTACTCAGAAGCTAGAAGTGGAACGGTGGCTCAAGTGGCAAAGTGCAAGACTGGAGCACAAAGAAAGCTCAGGGACAGTGCCTAGGACCTGAGTTCAAATCTAAGGACTGGCACAACAACAACAGAAAGAATATGCCTATCTGCTCCTGTTCCTTCCCATCCTCACATCTCCGCATGGACACGCCTGCAGCTTTCATGAATAATGTCAACTTCACATGTGAGAGCTGAACGGTCAGGGTTGCTGAAATCTCAGGCAGAAACTGAAATAAAACAAAACCTCCGTAATCCTCACAGATGCAACCAGGTAGCATTAGAGACAATATCGCTGCCCACAGCACCAGTGCCACACATCTCACGTTCTTTCTGCATTCACTTATTTGAGTTTCCAGTCTCTTCCAAGAGATCCTCACAATCCAAAAAAGTTAACCAAGTCATTGACAACATTTGAGTTGAAAGGTGTTACTCGGAAGGTGTCAACCATGCGTGCCATCCTGAAAATGACAAGACAGTACTTCCTGACTGGAATAGGAGTTGGTGTTGGCTGCTGCAGAACGAAAAGTCTCTCCGCAGCACCCCATGTCATATGTCGTCTCCGGAGGACGTTCCTTCTCTGTTTAGTAGTCTGTGTTCTCACAGTAAGAGAAGTACCTGTTGGCACAGGTATGGGGATGGGACGTGTTCCCATCTTGAGTAAAATCAAGTGTTTTCTTTGAGAAAACTCACAAAGTGGTCAGACGATTAGGTGATCATTGACGTGCTTCATGGGCAGCATTAAGAATAGAAGTCAGCTGGGCATCCATGGCTCACATACGTAGCTACTCAGAATGCTGAGATCTGAGGACGGTGGGTCGAAGCCAGGAAAGTCTGTGAGACTCTTATTTCCAATAAACTGCTCAGAAAAAGCAGGAAGTGGCGCTGTGGCTCAAGTGGTAGAGCACTAGCCTTGCGCACAGAAAGGCTCAGGGACAGCGCCCAGGCCCTCAGTTCAAGCCCCAGGAGAACAGAAGCCAAACTAATGTTAGCTCACAATACAGGCGCATTCTAATGACGCATGATGAGGTGTTGGGATTTCACTCCCATCCCATGCAATTAGCTGTAAAAATAGTCGTCGTGGCTCCATTATGCTGTCAAAGCTGATGTGCTTGCACAAACTTGCCAGCAGTGCTCCAGTGAATTCTCTCTCCTCACACAAGGTCTTTCTCTCTTCATCTGGATTGTTTAGTCTGTTGGTGAGTGGAGGTGAATTTTACACCTTCAGCCCATTATTAGGGTCTAATTACCAGGGTTGCCATAGGAACATTGGCTTTGTGATCTTTGCGCCCCGTCTAGTAGGGTGGTCTCCGAGTGACACCTGAAAACCAGCTTCTCACCATGGTGCCTGTTTCCGGTGAGTCACGTCACGCGCAGGGCCGGGGTGAGGGTCTGTGTTTGCTTTTGGGGAGGTGGGGGATGGTGCAGAGGCCCGAAGACACCGTCCTTGCACACAGGCACACATTCCTAAATTAAACTGACTACAAGAAAACGAATGTTCTCATTGACCTTTCTGACAGTCTCATGCCTACGTCGGTGCGGATGCCAGTGTTTATTATTACAGTCCTTCTCCCTACATGAGCTGGAGTTTGCATAAGCATGTGCTTAAGTGTGTGTGAACAGGATGAGTTTGGAAACGCGAGCTAATTAGTAGCATGGTACTGCTCAGGATGTCAAGGCAGAACTGTTTGAGAGTGTGGAGCCAAATTTGAAAAAGAACCTCACCCACTGAAAAATACAATGTATGGACTTACTGCGACGTGCAAGATCTGACTCGCAGTAAACAGCTGTTGTCCCGTGCAGGGCCATCAGCCTCGTTAGCATAATGTTTCCTAATAACTTTCAAACATCAACTGACTAATGGCCCTAGGGGAATTTCTTCCTCTACCAGATTATAAGGGTTTTATTTCTATATTTGGTGTCAGTGAAGTTATATTATGTTTTTAAACATATATATTAAACACACACAGGGGAAGACAGTCAGGAAATCATATGTAAGATCTCACAGATGAGGCTCCAACATTACTTCCAAAACTGTGAGGATACTTTGGTCTCAGGCTATAAATTACACCATCGTTTGCATAAATGCAAGTCATTTACAGCAGGACACATCCCTCCAAAAAGAATGGTGAGGTAGCCTGTTAATAACTACCAGAAGATATCATTCCTAATAAAAGCAAAAAAAAATTCAAAAATGAAAGAATCCAAGCCAGGCTTCCCTCAGGCTGACCTAGGACTCCTAAGTTATTTAAGGAAAACCCTTTCCTATGGAAATAGCCCAGGAATGAGCAGACGCCATGTCAGAACACTGAACACACCTCAGTAATAGCTGTAATGAGAGAGCAAGTAATTGTGTCTCATGGCAGAGTGGAGTTGGGGTCAGGTCAGCCTCAGTCACCCAGCTGGCTTAACCAGCCTAACAGGGTCCAAAAAGTCTCTAGTACTGAGCTCAGTCCTCCGGAGTGCCCTGGCCTTGGAGACTCCTTCAGTTAACAGTTTCAGAAAAACAGGTTTCCATGGACTGAGCACAAGATCTGGGCAGGGATTGCATTTTCACTTAGTAGCACCACCTATGAAGAGGCCATCCTGGCAGGATAGAGAGGCAAAGGATCTGGTCAGGTCTCAAGTCGTCCTTAGTGTGGGACACTGCATATGGTATTTCATCATATTGTACCGCTTTGCCCATCAAAAAAATAAAATGCCCAGAAAGGACAGAGGATCCTTCTTTCTCTGCCTCATTTCTACCAAGGGCTCTGAAGTGAGTAAAGTCATGTATTTAAAACATTTTAGGGCCGGGTGCTGGTTGCTCAAGCCTGTAATCCTAGCTACTCAGGAGGCTGAGATCTGAGGACTGCAGTTCAGAGCCAGACCAGGCAGGAAAGTCCATGAGACTCTTATCTCCAATAAACCACTCAGAAAACCGGAAGTGGTGCTGTGGCTCAAGTGGTAGAGCACTCACCTTGAGTTGAAGAGCTGAGGGACAGTGCCCAGGCCCAGAGTTCAAGCCCCATGATCGACAAAAATAAATAAATAAATAAATAAATAAATAAATACATTTTAGGTTTTCTAATATTGCTGGTGCTCATTCCATGCATTCCAGAATTATTTTCAGAGACCTCTCAACCATTGAAGTTTTCTCTGTTCCAAAACTGGGATAAAGATATACATGGATCTTTAATGAGTTTTTAATACCTAGTTCTTAAATATTCAAGTCATGCCTTTTTTTTAACTAAATTTTTTCAGAATTAAATGCTCCTGGGGGTAGAAATCTCAAATACCTAACAGTTATATAATTTCTAAGTTTTCTTTTCTATAGAACAGAGCTTTTCTTTTCTCTCAACAATCATGGATTTTTTTTTTAATTTTGGAGAAACTAAATGATTTTTTTAAAAATCCAAAATGTTTGTAGGGTTTATTTCCCTAAGAATATGGAAAACAAATTCTTCTTCGTCCTTCTGATCCACTCGTTATGTTCCAAGCCTCACTCTATCTCTGCCGCACTGATCTGTCACCCAGCCAGGTCACATGCACGATTCTCCTCTGAAGTCTATAAGTGAACAATGCCAATTCCAGGCCCAAGCAATCCTTCTCTCTCTACTCCTCTGAGACCAGTATCAAAAACTGACCCTCCCACCTTCTGCCCACCCTTATTAACGCTGGGTGCCTTAGAGTGCTTTTATTAAAAAGAAACAAGAATCACTCTTACATAAGGGGAAATCAGTTCTGTTTATGCTTCACATATGTCCCGGGGAGCAGGCAGGCAGCTCTGTCATCCTAAAGAAAGCCATACATAATAGAGCAGCTTTAGCCTCGTAAGCCAGTCTAGTCCCAATTCATCAGTCAAAGTTTTATGCGAGTGGCCCCCTAAGTTGATAAATTCCCACAGTG